CGAGTTTGAGCCCCGCGTCAGGCTCTGTGCTGACAACTCAGAGCCTGGAGCCTGCTTTGGATTCTGTGTCTCCCTCTCTCTCTGCCCCTTCCCTGCTCATGCTGTCTCTCTCTCTCTCTCTCTCTCTCTCTCTCAAAAATAAACATTAAATTTTTTTTTTAAATAAAGTAAAAAAACTAGCCTAGTCCATTTACTTTTTACTTACATTTACTTACATTTACTCTTAAGCATAGTCAACTATGCTTAAGACTAAGCAACAGAAAAGAATTCGGATGAGGGGGTGCCTGGGTGGTCAGTCAGTTTAGAGTCCGACTCCTGATTTCAGCTCGGGTCACGATCTCACAGTTCATGAGTTTGAGCCCCACATCAGGCTCCACGCTGACAGTGCGGAGCCTGCTTGGGATTCTCTCCGCCTCCTTCTATCTCTTTGCCCCTCCCGCGCTTGCATGTGCTTTCTCTCTCTCTCAAAAATAAAAAGAAGAAGACGACAACGACGACAAAGAAGAAGAAGAAGACGACGACGAAGAAGAGGAGGAGGAAGAGAATGGACAATGACAGAAAACAACTTGAAGCTATCATCTTCCAGCTGCGGAGGATCTCCCTTTTTGGCACCACTAATCTCCAGGATGAAGGATAAGGAAAACGAGCTTTGAAAGGTCCGTCAAGGACAATCGGCCAAGCAAGAGGCAGGACAGAGAAGGACTCAGATTATCCCACTTGGCAAGTTACCACGACCTCACTCCCCTGGCCTTCGGTCCACTAGTAGAATTCACTTCCACGACCATCTGAAGGAGTGGTAAATAGTGTTCCAGTCGCAGACTTGGGAACCTGGTCAGTGCATGGTTATCTGCTGATATATTTTCTGTATCTCTCTCAGCCAGAATCTGAGCTCCCTGTTGGGACCTTGCAACACATAAATACACATGATGCTTACAGTAGCCTGCTTTAGGGACTTACAGAACACGTATATACCTCACATCATTTGGAACTCATGACAATCCTTTGAGGTCAGAGGGACTCTCCAGGAAACGCTGAAAGAGAGTATATGCTTTGTCCGATGTGAAGACCTAGGACCTCAAGCAGACATTTTGTTTTCACCTTGAGGCCTCTTTCTAATGGGCCGACACTCGGCTGCTTTGGTTGTTCTGACTGCTGGCTGCCTGTGCTGCCCGGCACGCCAGCTGGTTTGAGTATCACTTCTGGTCACTCCTCCTCCAGTCCAGTCCTTTTTTCAACTAAGAGACTCTCAAGTATCATAAGTAAAAGAAGAGATTTTTTTTTTACGTTTATTTATTTTGAAATGGGGGGGGGGAGAGGGGCAGAGAGAGAGAGAGGGAGAGGGGCAGAGAGAGAGAGAGGGAGAGAGAAAATCTCAAGCTGACTGTGCAGAGCCCGACACGGGGCTCGATCCCACGAACTGCAAGATCACGACTCGAGCCGAAAGCAAGAGTTGGACACTTAACGGACTGCGCCACCCAGGTACCCCTAAAAGAGAGCGGATCTTAAAAGACAGAGAGCCTGTACCCAATCTCGGTTCTACAGCTAACTGGGTGCTCTAAGTCTGAACACACTCAGAAGCAAATAAGAACAAAACATGTGACACACGGGCTCAAGAACCATTAGAATTTGCAAGCCTGCTTCTTTTAAAAGAACTCAAATAAAGGTATACATAAATGCAATCCTTTTTTCTGGGAAAATCCTAAAACCAGAATCGTCACTTTTTTAGTATCTGTATTGATGGTTCAAAAGACGTAATGCTTTTTATCCACACTGTCGTGCGGGACTTCTAAAACTTACCATGAGAAGTTAAAGGCACTATATTGAAGGATGGTCTAATTTTCCCCGCATTATCCTTGACCACTATTTGCACGCTGTGTTGTTCAAAACTGGAATCCTTCAAATTAGTCAAAGCAAAGGAACAACCAATGTGTTGACCTTCTCTATAGATGTTTTCACACTGAAGAATTTTTCCCAGGCTGCTGTGCCTGCAAGATATAAGGAGACAACCTTCTGGATTATTTGTAACAAGGTATTCAGGAAACAAAGGCAGACATTTGCTTTTCAATGACTGAAGAGGACCACGAAAAGCAGTATTTGCAATATGGAAAGATAGCTTTTCTTAAAACCCTGTTTTATAATGTGGCTCTGTTTCATACTCTAGGAAGAAACGAAGGCTCCTTTTCGATGAACACTTGTTTGTTTTTTTAAGTAAGCTCTACACTCAATGTAGGGCTCGAACTCACAACCCCAACATCAAGAGTCACATGCTCTACCGACTGAAGCAGCCAGGCGCCCCGACCCCTGCTACTTTCAATAGCTATGGAGCCCTGCCTCCTTTCCCTCGTCTGTATGAGGGATGTTCCGAGGCCAGGATGAGAAGTTGTATGCTTCTTGAAAATGTCTCACGTGCTGAATTCCGTGGCTCTCCTCTGGCCCTTCTGTCTGCCTGCATTGTTTTCTTGGCTTCTCCTCCCCCTTCTCTCTTCTCAGAGGGTTCACATCCAGTCCTCGGCCCTGTGCACATTCCTTTCTACTGCTTACGCCCTCATCCATCTTTCCCCGGTTTACCATTTCAATCCCTCAACTAGAATTTCTACACTGGGGATTCCTTGGAGCCAGTCCCAGATTTTTAACTGCTCCATTTGTGTGTTCCACTCTGGCGTCAAAGCCAACGTCCTTCTGCCCTCTCTTCCCTGCTAAATTGCCTTTCTTCTAACCTTCCCCGTTCCCATCAGAGCTCGTTTTCTCTGGGCTCCTAGATTACAGCCTTTGAAATCACCCTTTCCCCCCTTCTTCCCCCCCTCTTTTCCCTATATTCTATCACCAAATTCTGTCATTTCTTCCTCCACAAAGCTTCTTGGAGTCTCTCCTGCGACATTCCTGTGACCCTCACCTTGTCTCACGCCCTAATCACTCCGGGCTTCCTGTCCTTTTCAGACTGACCCCCCTGGCCTTTGTTATTAGTGCCTTCCAATCACTGCCAGGTGAACGTTCCAGGATACAGTGGTTTTCTAAGTGTCTTACTCCACCACGTAGCTTTCAGTGCCTTTGTAACCAGGTCTGCTGGCGTCTCATTTCCCATTTCGAACCTCTACACGTACCTTTCCCCATTGATCACCAGCATCTAGCACAGCGCAGGCAGACAGAAGGCACTCATTACACTTTTCTGTCTAGGCTATCCAAGGATTCTCTCTTGTACTACCTGGCAGAAGACAGAGTCAAGCCTTACGTCAGCCACAATGGGAGTCGTGCAAAGGTTTCTACAGAAAGGAAGACGAATTTAAAAACGAACCAGGAAAAAGAAAAGAAGAAAGAAAAAAAAAA